CATATTGAAGCGCTACAAATCCTTTTCCACATAACTCTTCTAACATAATCAGATTTTAATATTCTTCATGTCTCTAAGTATACCCATTCCAAGAATTTGATTAATGGCTCCCAAATCTTTCATATTAAATTTCATAGCCAATTAAGCTTTAAGTATTGCAATATTATCTTTATTTGGTTTTATAATAATCATGTTATCGAAATACAATAATAAGATAATAAAGTTTTCATTACCAAAACCACAAAATAGGCATAATAGTTTAGCTTCATATCTATAAAAATTCAAGCTCCACATGAAATAACCAAATCTCTTGTACTAATACCTTTGTGCATGTTTTAACCCAGATAATAATTTCTTGAGCCTACAAACTAAATGTTATTTATCTTCCTCAGGTTAGGTCATAAAACTATCTTCTTTAAAATCACTATGCAGGAATGTAGTTTTCATAGTAACTTGTTCCAATGAAATTAAGAACAAAATAACTCTATGGTTATGCGCGTATAAGAGAGAAATTTCATCAAAAGCAATACCTGGCTTCTAAGTATAACCTTTCACAATTAATCGAATTATATACTTTTCAATAGCATCATCAGAACCTTTTTGCATCTTGAAGACCTACCTGCAACCAATTGCCTTTTGCCCCTCTAACGATTAGACTAGTTCCTATATTTAATTTATTTGTATGGCCTCCATCTCCTCTTCTGTAGATGCTATTCATTGATGGGCTTCATCGATCTCATATACTTCACTATTAGAAATTGACTCGCCCTCCTCTGTAATGTAGACATAGTATAAGGTATGGTCGTTAAGCCTTATAGGAGCATTTTTAAATATGTCAAATCTTCTCATTTAACACCACCTAAATATTTTTCAAGGATTTGGATAATTTTATGATCTTAGTCTTGACCACTATCTCGTTCGTTCTCATAGTTGTATTCCACTTCAATAATTTATGCATTTGGTTCTTCTTTTTTTCCTATATAGAATTTTCATTGAGAATAACATCTCGCCTATCAATAATCTTGTGATCAGTAAGATTCCACAACCTATACCCTTTGCACCATTTACATAGCAAAAAAAAACTATAGTTTTTAGATTTTGTGTCCAATTTAGTTTTCTTATCCTTTAGAGTCAAAGAATATGCATCACACATAAAAACACGAAGGAAAAAATAATCAATTGGCTTACCTGTTCAAACCACTTCTGGTTTCTTATAGTCAACCACAAAATTGGAAGACCCATTAATGAGGAAGCAAGTTGTGTGAACTGCGTTTGCCCAAAAATACTGCTTTAACCCAACAACACTCAACATACAAGTGACATACTTTATAGTGGTACAATTCATCCTTTCATTATAGTGGTACAATTCATCCTTTCAGCACCTCTATTTTGTTGTGGAGTCTCTAAAACTATCGACTTCGTAGTAATAAAGCTCTTTGTAATAACTACATTGCTCTTTCTAGGTCTCTGTAATTTTGTCCTCAGTTTAGAGAGGGGGGAATCATTGGGCTATTTTTCAACTCTCTACAATACATTGGTAATTCTATAATATAGGTTTTAGGGGAATACATTTTTCTTGGAATATGTTAATAAAAATTTTTATTGATTTTTTTATTAAACCAATATTATTGACTTAATCTCATTTTGGTAAAGGTCATTTGGAACTTAAAACTCAAGATTTCAAATCAATAACGAGAAAAAAAGTCCAAAAAAGTTAAAAAATAAGAACATTAATACAAGGAAAGATCTTTTTAATAAAAACGTTTTTGGAAAAAATATAAATGCGCTTAATGAATTCCATCAAAAAACATGTTTTTTTTTTACGGTTTTTGAAAAGGAAAAAGTTTATATAAGGATACAATCTTATAATGTAGAACTACGGATGCACCTCAAACATCCATGGGAAAAGATAGTTTTAAATTGATCATCTCAACATCGAGATGTATGACCATGAAAAATAAAAAGATTTTAAGTCTAAGAAATAGTACATTTTACAACATATTATTTACACCGTTCATTTTCAAGATTTTCATATATTCATATATCTACTTGATTTTAACCTTTTTTGAAATTTAGAATTTTATAATTAGATATAGAAATAGATTTTGAGATAATCCTAAAAACATTTTACATCAAAATTATATACCATTATAAAATTTGAAGTTGCACCTTACCTCTACACCTACGGATGCATCCGTATGCCAACTGCACCCTTTTGAAAAACTCAAAATTTTGAATGGATTTCAAATAATTATATATATATTTAAAAAATCATGTTTAAATTAGAGACTTGCTTTCAACCTCATGGTTCTCCTATTCTTAAGAAACCAAAACTGAGAAATCAGTTTATTCACAATCAAATGCAAAAATATTTTGGAGACCATCTGAGTTTCCATATCCTAGTTGAGCTCTAGCCTTAAGAATTGCCTCTTTAAGATCCACAGCAAAATGCTACCATAGTCCATAACATCATCACATTCAAGGTGCCTTTCATGTTCCAATAAGTAATAACTCGAATATTCATGTCTTCTCTCCCTCCTTGATCTTTATTAGAAGCCATTTTCCAAAAGATTAGTGATCCCTCTCTCTAACTCTAAGATTTTATCTTGGAAATGGTATACAAATGGGATACGAAAAAAAAATAAAAAATAAAAAATAAGAAGAAAAGAAAGAAGAAAGTAGAAAGTGGTCGGGAAAGGGACCAGGGGCAACCAGTCCTTATGCCCCTTTTTCGTGCACTAACTATTGAATGGTGCAGATGTCAAGATGCACTTAGATCAGTGTGATTTCCAACACATCATCTACTTCTCTTATTTGGAATAATTTTCTTCTCAATCTTTTTCTCATGATTGATGATCTTTTCTTTCTTTCTTTTTTGTTTTTTAACGTGTTATTAGTTACTCTAGCACAAACTAATTTGATGTCGTTCTATTTCTATCATGATATTCCCATCTATCTGTGAGCTTGTATGGTGCATGAATGTTCCCGTAGGAGCATGCTGTAGACTTACTCCCCAAATACTCTTCCCAAAAAAACCGAACGGTTACTTGTTTACTATTGGGTATTATTTAGGGAAAGCTTTCTACGTTCTCCCTACAACATAAAAGTACTATCTTCCCTTTTATCCAACCGTCTATTTTTTAATGGAGGGTTAACATTGTCCCAATCATAATGTCATGTCTCTACACTGTTTTATTTTTAATTTTTTTTCTATGTACTGTTTTGACACCAAATTTTGGATGTCCATTCCTCTATTACACTCGCACTAACAAAAAATATAAAAAAATTATTTTTAACAAAATAAAATAACCAAAATACCCCTAAAATATTTAAGGGGTATTTTGGTCATTATTTTTATCAAAAAATGATTGTTAATATTTTTTATTGGTACGCCCCAATGAGAATATGGCACGTACCAAATTTTATATTCAGAAAATTTGTATTAAAAAAACTAAAAATAAAATACTTTGAGATGTTGGATATAAGATCAAACAGTGAATGGCTCTCTTGATAAAAAATGGACGGCTAGATGGTAGGGGGAGGATAGAACTTCTATGTTGTAGGGGGAATATAGAAGTATTCTTTATAAGAAAAAAGTTTATATAAGTGCGAGGCTCTAAACAATCAAACTAGGGTACACCTCAAAATTTTCACTAGAAGAGGTTGTTTTGATGCTCAAATATTCTCAAATTAATCATCCCGTCCTCAAGATGTATGGACATGAGAAAAAAAATAGATTTCAAGTTTTGAAAATAATGCATCTTTTAATGTATTTTTGGATTGTCAATTTTCAATTTTTCATAGATCTGTTCGATTTACATTATATTTAAAACTTTAAATTTTATAATTATAAATAAAAATATATTATAAGGCTATCACAAAAATTTCCATCATTAAAACCACATTTTTCGGCACTATTTGAAGGTGCCTTTACTTTAATTGTTCAATTCTTGGTCTTATCCAAACGGCATCCTTTTTTGTAGATTCATGTTGCATTAGAATTTCCTTTTAGAGTTTGGTCCTGCATTGAAAACGTTTTATACCCTTAAATAAGGAAAAATTTATATAAGGTTGCAACCTTAAAAATGTATCACAGATACACCTTAAAACTTCATTGAAAATATTGTTTTAATGTTGAAAGAGCCTTCTAATCAATCATCTCAACATCGAGATTATGAATAAGAAAAATAACAAAAAAAAGGTTTTTGAATATAAGGAATAGTGCATTGCAACACATTATCTAGACCGTCCATTTTCACGATTTTCATATATTTATAGATCTACTTGATTTTAACTATTTTTGAAATTTAAAATTTTCTAATTAGGTAAGAAAATAGATTTTAAGATAATCCTAATAATTTTTTACAATAAAATTACATGTTATGATAAAATTTTAAAGTGAACTTTAATTGGATTGTTTAAGATTACAACCTTCTAAAAACCGCACCCTTTAAAGAAGGAGGGTTGAAATGTTTTTCTTTTAAAAATAACCTACCTATTCTTAGGTGGTTCCAATAATTTCAAATTGAAGATCCCCCACGTGGGTCTTGAGAATCCAAGAGATTTTATACTCCACTCTAGTGTATATTGCATTTAAAACTCTTTAAGACACCAAATTTTGGAGATATTACTTTTTTAGCCTATAAAGTTAAAAAAAGTTTCTAAATTGAACTTTTTATGTGCTAAAAAAAATATAATGTCTAATTTTTGAAGGGTGAGATTTAGGCATAAAAAAAAACTCAAAATTTTTTTTTTTTCTTTTTGAAAATATTGACGTGGTGATTCTTAATGCTCCCACATAGGCCTTTTGATTGAGGGAGTATACATACCAACTACTCTGAATAGAAAATAAAAATAAACTTCTGCCCAAGGAAGAGGCGAGGGAATGCTCCCGCGGGAACATAAAATCTTTTTCCCAAGGTTCCACCGCTGCATACATTCAAAGGAAATGACAAAATGGTGGCCTATCCTGAGGGGCATCTTATCTTGAAACTTGTTTTTATTTCTCCTACCTCCTTTTCACTGCAATTAAAAAATTTAAAATCTTTTGTGTTTCTCCTTTTAAACTCCCCCTTCTTCTCTCTCTCTCTATCAGCGCTCAAAGCAGACATCTCTCTCTAGTGCCTCCTCTTCATTCATTCACTTGCACCAAAAGATGGTTGGGTTCTCGCTTGATAATCCATTAACAGTTCTTGCCACCTTTGCTTTCGCTCTCTTCTCATGGTTTCTCTTCACAAGGCTTTTCTTCTCTCTCTCGAGAAAATCTTCAAATGCCCCCCCAGGTACTGCTTCTTTTTTCTCTCTTTCTCACTCCTCTGGCACTTGTGAAACCTTTGTTTTTTGCTGTAAAAATTGAAAGTTTTGATTTTGTGTTTGTGTAGCTGTTCCTGGGTTGCCTGTTCTTGGGAATCTGCTTCAATTGAAGTCCAAGAAACCCCACATGACATTTACAAAGTGGGCTGAGGCATATGGGCCTGTTTACTCCATCAAAACAGGGGCCACAACTCTTGTGGTCCTCAACTCCACTGATGTGGCCAAGGAGGTACTTTTGCTAACAGCCCATATGAGCTTTTCTCATTTCCTGGCATGTGCAAACTCTCTCTCTCTCTCTCTCTCTCTCTCTCTCTCTGTGATTGTGATGTTGTCTTGAATTAATGAGAATCATGGCTTATTCGAAATTGGTCATTTTTATCTCCCTCTCTGAGTGTCTGTGGTGTCACAGCCTGGAATTAACCTGAATCATGATTAATTCTAAATTGGTCATTTAGAACTCTTTCTAGACGAATCCTAAATTAGTCATTTTCATCTCTCTCTCTCTCTCTCTCTCTCTCTCAGTGTTTGTGATGTTACTGTCTTGAATTAATCAGAATCATGACCAACCCTCAATTGGTCATTTACCGCTCTTTCTAACTCTCAATTGGTCATTTACCTCTCTCTATTGAAAGAAAAACCTACGTGATCTTTTGTTGAAAAAGTACAAATTTTTTTTTTAAAAAATAATAATTACCCCTTATAATTTTGGTAACAAGATCACTCACAGATGGTCTTATTACAAACAATAGAAATTCCAAAACTAAATAACACATCAATAAAATAAATATCAACTACTTGATGTCATTCATACAACTTAATACTGTGCTTGAGAATATAAAATAAAAAAACAAACAAATAAAAGAAAAGATGCCGGAGATTATCTCAACTGGGCTTTTTACACCCCACACCGAGTCACTACATCCAATGGCACGGGATCTGTGGTCTAGTTTCAATCTCGAATCGGGATAGCTGATTTCGCCCTTTAAAATCTCTACAAAACCCTAATTTCAAAATAATTAGGCTCAAGCCCTTATTTTTTCAAACCCTTAGATTAAATCACGAGAGGGAGAGAGAATCTCTATGTTCTTCTCTCTATGTTGGGGCATGTCCCCTAGGGGTAGAGAGAGGGGCATGGCCTGTAGGGAGGAGAGAGAGTTTATGAGAGAGAGGTGTGTAGAGATTGGAGGGAGAGCACCCCTATTTATAGTGGATATTTAAGTTTAGGGTTTCTTAAGGTTTTTCCATAGTTTGTTTCTTTCATGATATTGAATCTAGACCCTTGATAAAGATGACTTGTGGGGTGAGAGATCGGAGTCATCTATTCCATTGATGAGCCATCAACATTATGGAAGGTGCTTGAACTATATCTTTCTTTCCTTAAACTATTTTCTCATCAATATATTTAAATAAAATAAATACCATGCATTCCATAAAATTGTATGATCCATGTCACATATTCCATAAGGATATGTCAAATATTATCAAGTAAATAAAGATTACCAAATAAGTTAAGGTCAATATTTTCGTTTCAAGATTTGACCACATGCCACAAATCAAAGTTACTATATTTAACACACTTGAACACAAAACAACAAGAGAATCCAAGGGGTGGTACATGTGGGCCCCCACCCACATGCCACATTATAAGCTCATATGCATTTTGGGCCCCCATGGAATTTTATAAAAATTTTAAAATTAAATAAAATGAATTAATATATATTTGAATTTTTACAACTTTGTAAAATCAATAACTGTATTTTTATAAGTCCAAATATCATAATTGAAATATTGAGAGATTCATAAAAATTCAAATAATAAAATTAAAATCATTTAAATAATAAAATGAACACAATTAAATTAATATGATGGGAAAATAATCCATATGGTTTTAGGAATTTAATTTGTAATAATGGGGTACTCCACCTCAACTGTGGACTACAGACCACACTAGCTTTATCGAACCGACCCAATGTTTCTCATGACCCACAGTTCAAGCAAGGGTTCATTAGCGGGTCATCAAAGTTAGGTCGATAAATCAAGAGGTCGCAATCCCAGTCTGTGGATTACATGTCCTCTCCTAGAGACGAGTCAAGGACACCACGACCTGATGCGACTGCAGCTCTATGACGCATAGGGGTATCTCTCGCACATGCATACGTTTCACCCAAAGGTGGATATCTGGCTTTCCAGAACGATATATCAATATGCATGTCGTGTGATGGAACATGGATCAGGTTTTGGTCCCCGTCTTAGTAGGCCTACCATCACACATAAGGATCACACAGTCCCTCGGCTCTCTCATCTAGGCATAAGCTCCGACCTCATCAAGGGTTAACCCAAAACCCTCATTGGTTAATTCTTTATGCCCAGGTACCTTGGGTTTTCCAACCGACTGGCCTAGATCGATAAGCACAGTCCTGTATAAGCAACCACTAGTCGCTTAGTATGGTCTTCGAGTGACCACACTCCTACAGAGTTTATGTTTCACTATAATAAAAGTATATCAATACATACTCATAAGGCCTTTAAAGGCCACATAAACCCAACATCTCTCTCTCTCTCT